AGATGAAGATGAAGATGAAGGTGAAGATGAAGATGAAGATGAAGATGAAGATGAAGATGAAGATGAAGATGAAGATGAAGATGAAGATGAAGATGAATATGAACATGAACATGAACATGAACATGAACATGAACATGAACATGAAAATGAACATGAACATGAACATGAACATGAAAATGAACATGAACATGAACTTGAACATGAACATGAACATGAACATGAACATGAACATGAATGTGTAGATAAACATAAACATAAACATAAACATTAAAAGCGATAGAGACAAAGATAGAGAGGAAGAAAGTGATAGGGATAAAAAGGAAATACAACTGAAGAATGTGCGATGTTATATTGTGATGTGTTATGCTACATGTTATGTTATGTTATGTTATTGAATCTAATGCTATTCTATGTTATGTTATGCTAAGTACTAAGCTAAACTCCCCTCCACTTAACCCATTCCAACAAATTTTATTTCAGCACAACTCAACTCACATAAACTATCCTTAATTTTAGCGGTTGAATTTCAAGCGCTGGGCGAACACTAGTAATTATTATACACTAAGACACCCTTAAAACCAGTTCAACCGTTATGTCACATCAAAAAATTTTACGACTTTAGAACGCTTACGTCCCTTGTGAATACGCTAATTACGCTAATAGCCAACTATGGGGTTACTTTATTTGGAAAATAATGCACTGTTGAAAGACAACATAAAGATAGAACAAATTTATTTTCGGTCTCAAAAAATGTCACTAACGACCGGTTACTCAATGTCTGGGTATTGCTAACTGCAGGCAAAGCACCGTAATCGACGTGAACGGCTTCATAACATATAACAAGGAGTGGATAACGTCGATAATGACCTTTAACCTGTGGTTAGTGTTAACAAGACATTGAGTAACCGGCCCTAAGTTAAGTTGAGTTAAGTTAAGTTTCAGGGTTAACCGACACCTCTTCAAAAAATACTTTTGAAACAAAGTTAAACTTAAACCTCTCTTGCTTGACTATTGCACCGTGCGATAAAAACCAAAAATTCTTAAAACACACGAAAGTATCAATATATAACTGCGTCTTTAATTTTTCTCTCTGACGTCAGGATTTTTTCGAAATTTCTAGGATATGATTGAATAAAAAAATATATAAAGGATTTGGTGCATTGTAGAGTAACAATATGGGTATCAATTAAGAGGAAAAATTCGGCACAATTAAAAAAAAAAGAAAT